GATCTCTGGACTGTAGGGTTACAGTGTGACCCGGCCCAGACTGGACCGGTGATCTCTGGACTGTTGGGTTACGGTATGACCCAGTCGAGATCAGAACCAGTGTTGTCTCTACTGATTCTACTTAGCTTTACTGTACTTCCACCGAGGAACCCCAGAATGAATAAGTATCAGAGTTCAGGCTCTCATCCTTAATGTGCCGTGAAAGCTGACCTGCAGGAGCTGGCCATCTGCTCCAGCTTGTGTTGTTAATGACCCCTTGTCCCTCCCCAAAAAACAGAGCCTGTTTTTCCAGAGGCCTCTCTTACTGCTGGGGTCTGTCTGCACTGGACATGTGTTTGACGTTAACCCAGACATGTAAACAGTCTCTAGCGCCAAGGCTGTAAACCAACTGTCAGCTCCTCATGCAACAAAGAAGCCCCCAGCCTGTGCTGCACGTACTGTAACAAACAAGGAGGACTCGCGTCTTGTCAAAACACATCAAGATACTGCGTGTTTATTTTTTACGCTGGTTTTTGAAGACGCACATCTGAGAAGGAGAAGGAGTAAGGCTTAGTTCTGAGTATTTTAGCAGTCTGTACTGTTGCTACGATCGCTAAGCACCTTCTTGAGTAGTCTCAAACACTGCAGAGAGCTGGTACATGCTGTACTGTATACCAGAGACAGGCGGCTGGGGGGACTGGGAGATGTGTGCAAAAAAGGGCCAACTCCTCCATTTCTGCATTCGCTTGTTTTTTGGCAGATAGTGAACGTTGTAACAGCGCAACCCTCCATTTCACCCCGATGCAAGTAAACTACATTACATTTTTCACCTTTACTCCACTGACAGCACACACTCACACTCTGCTTTGCCATTATTTTTCGATATTTGTATCAGGCTTTACTATGCCTTTATTTGCTTTACCATTGTCTCACTGGGCTTTACTGCTTTGTACTCTGCTTTTACTCTGATCTTACTGGGCTTTACTGCACTGTACTGTGTTTTTACCCTGATCTCTCTGGGCTGTACTGCACTGTACTGTATCTCTGTTACCCTAATCTAATTGGGCTTCACTGCACTGTACTGTGGTTTTACCCGGGTCTCACTGGGCTGTACTGCCCTGTACTGTGCTTTTACCCTGATCTCACTGGGCTTCACTGCCCTGTACTGTGCTTTTCCTGTTTTTCACCAAGGATGAGAGTTACACAGTAGGACATAGTGAGTGACCGACTGAAACAGGATAAAGTACTGAATAATATCATGTGTGGCTTTCATAATGCAGCAAATGACAGGTGTGCTGGACAGCAAGTATCCTGCCTGTCACGTTCACGACTGCTCAGATCGCTGGTCTCCCTCCCTCCCTCTCCCCTGTCTTTCTCAGGCCCTCCCTGTCAGTGCCTCTGTTTCTGTCCCCTCTCCTCCCTCGCGCTCTGCTTCTCACTGTCACAAGAGCTTATTAAAAGATGAGTCTGTCACTTTCCGGGAGCCTGAGCAAAAATAAAGCACCCTAATCAGGATGAAACCAGAGCCCAGCGCACCTGTCTTTCTCCTGCGTGTTGAAACCGCAATCTAATCCCACTGATGCGCTGTCAATATGCAGCACGGTTTCCAAAATGGGATCTTGACTGTGTCCGCTGTCCGATACCACTGCAGCCGGAAGCAGGCTCTCGGAAGAGCAGCACGCACACACTCCTCTCCACCCTGCAGACGGCCCTGGAGTCATCTGTGGAAAGAGTTGAGGCTTGACAGCTCTGCGTTCTGCTTCCCTGCGTTTCGGTGTGAAATGTGAAGCTGACTTCTCTGACTGAGGGCTCCGACGCCATCTGTGACTGCTCTGATGTACGCTACAGTGCTTGCATGGTGATGCATGTCATTTTTTTTCCCTACATTTCAGAGTTATATATATTTTTTTCAAATCAAATTATGCTTCTTTTGACTTCCCCCCGATTTTTGAATCAGCAACTGCTTGACCACCTCCTTTAATTGCTCTCATTCCTTTGTACTAGCGTGAAAAAATAGAGCAATGAGATGAAGGCACAGTCCGGTATAGGCATCTTGAAGAGTGAGCTCTAGATGGAGGGCAGCTCTCACTGACAGCTCTGGAATAATACAGTGTGACCCGGCCCAGACCGGACCGGTGATCTCTGGACTGTAGGGTTACAGTGTGACCTGGCCCAGACTGGACCGGTGATCTCTGGACTGTAGGGTTACAGTGTGACCCGGCCCAGACTGGACCGGTGATCTCTGGACTGTAGGGTTACAGTGTGACCCAACTGGACCAGTGATCTCTTGACTCAAGGGTTACAGTGTGACCCTGGGTTTAATGAGTGCCTGGGAGGAGTCATTAATATGATTTAATTTTTTTTAATTGAATGAGGGTAGCACATATAATTTTTTTAATACATTATGAAAACACAGTAGTATTAGCTGACTTATTGTGAGCTGAACTGATTGGCTCTTATCTGTGGGCTGATTACAATGATATTCAAGAGCACAGTGTATTGTGATGTACTGCATTGTGTTTTAAGGCCTGTCTGAAAATAAAATAGAACTAATTTTTCATTTTCAATGTATCTTTGAAGTAGACAAAAAATAAATTACTCTTTTCAAAAGCAATCTTTATTTTAAAGTAGGACAATTTTAAAGTAATTGTGGAAGTGAGATTAAGCCTTGAGCACATTGGGAAATCTCATTGGAAGACCTGATTGATCTCAATCCAACCTGATTATGCTGGAGAGCTGGAAGGATTCACAAATAGCTACAATTACTGAGAACAGTCCACAGTTTCAACATGATATGCATTTAATTATTCTGGATAGCTTTAAATAGCCCACTCATAACATACTTCAAAAGCTCTTTGAACGACAAAGATAAGATACGCTTTTTTAACTATTCTTTTCTAACTCTTCTTTGACTAGTAAGTCACTTTAATGATTCAGTGATGAGTACAGCCTGATCCCTATTGTCTAGACGTCCACTGGTTTCAGTCTGTTACAGTTATACTGTAACCCTATTGTAACCAGAGATCACTGGTCCAGTCCACTCATACTATAACCCTACAGTCCAGAGATCGCTGGTCCAGTCTGGGCCAGGTCACACTGTAACCCTACAGTCCAGAGATCACTGGTCCAGTCTGGGCCAGGTCACACTGTAACCCTACAATCCAGAGATCACTGGTCCAGTCTGGGCTGGGTCACACTGTAACCCTACAGTTCAGAGATCGCTGGTCCAGTCTGGGCCGGGTCACACTGTAACCCTACAGTCCAGAGATC